AAAACATACGGAATTTTGATATAGAATCATTAATTACGTATACAAACCTTATAAAAAATGTATCATTTCCTTATTTCAATTTCTTATAGGGAACCTGACTATTTGATACATTTAATATTTGCCATTTATTTTATATGTAAATAAAAGAGAACAGAAATGTATAGTGGTATATTTATTTGTTTAAAAAAAATGAGGGAGAGAGATATTTTAATAACCTTACACGTAAAAATATTTTTGCGACTCGCCTAAATAAAAAAAAAATAATTTAGTAGTGATATAAATAATCAAAACCGAATTATTCTAAGGTACTGTATAATACAATTTATTCAATTGGTAGCAACCACAAGCGCTAGGGAACTAATCAGTCCAATTCTCGATTTTTCTTCAACTTTACCATTTTACGTATGAAAGTTATATTTTAATATTACATTATGCATAAAAAGTTTAATCTGAATTATCGCAATAAATCTTCCAGAACAACTTAGTAATTTAAGATAAGTACAGTATATTAGTTGCGATATTTCTATTTTTTATTAGTAAAAAAGAATCATCTAATAAAGTATATTAGTTACGTGTGTCTATTACCTACGAATACCGTAAAATCTTTACTAATATTTGATGCGAGAGAATTTTATTTACATATCTAAATGGTTCAAATGATTTCCGATTTGGACTTTGTAATGATTCGTCTTGACAAATATCACCAAAATACATACCAACTACATGATCCTTTGGAAATTGTAACCTATTTGAAAATTTATAATCTTTCAAAACTAGATGTGGATGTCCTACCTATACCTCCAGTTAATCACAATGATTTTTTAACTAAGCTATCTAATTTGTTTATCTTACCAAAGGCTTCAAATGGGAGTATACCATTATTATCTGCTTCTTTAGCAATGTGTAGTTGTTTCATATAATTCTTGCATATATTCAGGTCGAGACGCCAAATCGATAAAGGCGTTTGTAGAACTCCTTGAAGTTGAAAGTATCGATGCATAGATAATAATAGCCAGTTTATCAGCAATTACAGTACAATCAATGTTGTAAGGATCAATATTTTTCTCTTCATTTAACTCTTGAAGCAAATCATTATGACGTTTCCACAAATCCTGATACATATTTCTATCTTGTAACCGTTTATCGACTTGTTCATTTATATGTTTAACTAAGATATTTCGATGTTTATCTGCCAGATTGAATACGATTAATATACGATTAATATAGTCTTGAAGTCCTGCATATATAAAATCGAAATTTGGTAGTATTGCAAGAAATATTGCTATATCACTTATAAAATCCACAAATGGGGCATGACCTCATTCTTTCCTAAAGAAAAATAGAATTAAATTATTCATAAGACTCCCCATTTTTTAAAAAAAAATTTGCTAACTTCACCAATAAAAATATTTGCATTAAGAGCGGCAACAAATTAAAATTATCGCTTTGCCACATTCGAACTCGAATCCGTTAATATTTACAGGACCCGAATTTGACTCAACCTGATTATTTTTTGATCCGACCCGATTATTGTTTAACTCGGATTCGACTTGAATTTTAAGGTAATATTAATACCGAAAGTAAAAAATATATTATTGGCTCCAGGAATTCGAACACAAAAAATGCGCAATTTAATCAGTTTTAAGTCTAAAATCATTCAACAGGGACACTCGTTGTTTATTAAAATAATTTTATTTCTATTTGGATGATTGCACTCTAAATAATGACATAATTTTGTTGTAGTTGAATCATCAATATTGTGGCGCCACATTTTATGTCCACTAATATTTTTGAAAAAAAAAAAATAATACTCAACCTATAATATATCAAATTATATATACTCAATTTAAAAAAGATATGAGTAGTTAAGATACAGTATCTAACTTCTCAATGTGTTTTTTGAATTTTATATTCTAGTGGAAAAAGTTTCTCTTCAATAGCTTTTTGGCAAAAAGTTTACTTCGCAATTATTGTTGATTTCCAAGAGAAGCTGTATTATTAGAATTAATAAGGTCGATAGTTTCACTCATTTAAAAGTTTCGCATATAGCATCACCTGATTATTCGGGTCACCTGGGTCCAAAATCGAGACCCTAACCCGATGGGTTTTAAGAAATTAGGACTTCTGACTCGAATTTTTTCTTGAGTCGGGTCAAATGACCCAGGTCGATTCGACTGGCTCAGAGCACCACATTCACCAATATACTTTTGAATACTCAAATGAATGCTTTCTTGCATTCGTTCATTATAAATATCTAATCTTTTTTATATCTTGAATCTCTGAATCCTTCTGCAAACATTGCGTCTCCTAGTATTCTTTTTCTGATTATTTCTTTAAAATAAATACATCAATCCTTTGTAAGTACTTCATATATATGCTTTTTTCCTATAAGGTAGCGTAGCATCAAATAAAGAATTTGTTAATCATTATATAACACATTAAAAGAGTTATTCTTGTAATGACTAACAAAAACCATGTTAGCAAACACAAATAGTAATTTCGTTGCGGTATAACGACATATTAATAATTAGATAAGTTTAATCACGAGAACTTGGATTACTAACAAAGGTCCCATATATATAGACTAAAAATATATATACAATAAATACAATATTAATATGAACATTATGCAAATTTACTGACCTTTTGTCTATATTGTTCAAAGAATTTAACTTCTCATACAAATAACTAAAAGTATGGCCGATAATTAGTATCCTATAACAGTGTTCACTAAATGATTATGACTGGCAAATGACTCAAATGACAAATGACAAATGATCTGTCATTTCAATTATCAAATGACCAGTCA